TTATCTCTACATATAACAGTTGAAGAAAATTCTATCTTGAAACCTTAACGGTTATACAGATTTGATGCCTGAATCGTAAAATTATTTTCATCAATCTGATCACGTCTCCTTTAGGGTGTGATTTCTAAATTAAATTATCTCCATCTTAATTAACAAAAGGCTTGACTGAAGCACACATTTTATGACTCCTTCTTATTGATATCAGTTCTCTTAAATCTGTCTCGGTAAACAGATACGTATTCAAATGGAGCTTCGGCCTTCGATCCAACATGATCACTAATGATCAGGCAAGGCAAATGTTGAAATTCGATCCAGGAGTGAAATCAAGGGAGCCAATTGTCGTAGATTACTCCTCGAGTCGTGTTTAAGTACGACCGGCGGCGAAAACTTAATCTACAGAGGATGGCCCGTGCAATGGGCTCGATTCTGATTGCATCCATTACAACTATCTCAAACTAACTGTAGGTAACACGAATATGCCCTTCAATTTATCATATAGAGCAGCCAGCAGATAGGGCATCCTATTCAAATTTTAAAATTTGTATGAGATAAGTAAGTTTTGCATCTTACTTAAATATGGAAAAATCCTAATAACATAAACCATAGAGCAAAAAATTTGGGAATTTTTCTGCTTATCCCGAAGATTAACTGGCAGAAAACTTAAAGTTTAATGGTAATTTCAGCAGACAGACCTACTTAGAGCTAAATCTAGCGCCAGAGACTTTAGAATCGACTCCCATGTGCAATAGCATAAATCAGGCACCGGGTACAGTTAGTTTTCAATCAGAATCTGTTATCAGGCCGGTAGGCAGGCCTGACGGTGCGCGCGCGTTGACGCGCAATTTACCCGATTGCCGCGGGCGCGCGCCGTATCTTTGCGGGTACAATTGATTGTTCTTTCTTTTGTGTTTCTACTGGGCTGTGCAGTGTGCTACTGTAGAGAAAATTGATGAGTCAGTTCAATATTAGTTCTGTTGTTTTGAATGCGTTACAAAATTGAGGTTAAGGGACAAGATTCTCAAATCCTTTGCGAGACCTGATTTTCCTTCATTAGGTAATAAAGCGTCGACTAACTTTGCAAGTCAGTAATTCCGGTGCCCATTACTCGTACGTTTCAAATGATTAATGTACACAGGACGCTTCACGCCGTCTACTTTTCATAATGCAGCAGGGAAATGACCTCAAAGTTAACCCTAATTCGTCCTTATTTACTCTACGTTAATGTAACGGGTTGATGTTTTAGAAGGGACGTAACCCCAGCATTGTTTATGTAGGACCAATTTAAACGTAGTTGCTTAGATGATCCGACGCGAGGGGTGATTTATAGATGCACAGGTTTTAGTACGGTCACAAACTGGCGACATGAGATTAGAAATACAACCCTATCCCATTCTATAAACTATGTGAAGTCAATTTACAATGACGTGTCTGCAAAAAATCGTAGATAGACTTGTAAATTATGTAAGTTAGTTTTAATGAAGCAGTTTCCAATCGGAGAGGGAATTGCGAATAAATGGTTTTGATTTGCGCTATAGCTTAAGAACGAACAAGGAAAATTGTATTTACTTTAGACACTCCTCTACAATCTCTACAATGGATAGCACATCATACTCTATATTATTTTTATTCTAAAATAGCTCCAATTCCAACTGTGTAAGATGCAACAGTATTTCCTTGTTGTGCCTTTAATTCTACATCCATGCTTTCCTAGAAGGCACCCAGTGATGTGTGCATCATTCGAGATATGATCGACAGACGGCTTGTGGCGCCGCACCGCAGCGGGGGCGGAGGCCGCACTGCGATGTATCGATTCATCTGATGCGGATGCCTGTAAGAGGATGTTGTACAGACAGCAACACTAGCACTGTCGTGACTTATGCACTTCTAATAGATTCCATTTTGCCACAAATATAGCATCTTTATGTGCTGTAGATTGTACCACCTGATAGGGCGTTATTCTAGGTTGCCAATATCCTATTTACTTGCTTCTACGCTAATTGATAGTTCGTGTACACAGATGTAAGATAGGCACACTCCCATGTCAATCCACCACACCGCAATCTTTCTGTAAATGCATACCTACTACAGACTGAGATCTTATTTTGATTAATCACTAGCAAATCTAGCAATGACAAGAAGTTCCTATTATTGTTTTAGCTTAGCAGTAAGGTTTATTTTGCATGATTTATTAGTATGACTTTTAGGCAAACCAGAAACGTGAGAATCTACCATATTATTTAGGTCAACTCAAAAAATAAACTTTTAAAGTCAAACGAATGTTTTACCAAGCTAAGAACGTAATTCAGGTAAAGTTAAAGGGAATTCTTGACGGTCATCAGTTCGTTCAAATGTGTAATAACTTATCGTCTTAAACAGAAAATCATAAAACAGAGCGGACGGAAGTAATCTCACTCGGTATCACTTATTGGAAAATAAATCACATCAGTTGATTACACGGCAATCGCTCATTTATAACTGAGTTACAACTTTATATTGAATTCTCGGAAATTACTGGGGTGGTAGTTAGAATAATCTCTGGTAATACCTTACCAGTCCCGCGATGGCATGTCGTTAGGGAATTACGTTGACGATGGGACGAACTTAGCTGACGACTGCAGAGCTTGAGATCTTGAAGTGCTTGACACTCAAATCGTCTTGTTTGAAATGGATTTGCTCGCAAACCGGCTGCAATTAAAATTTCTCATATTCTCGTTAGCATACCTACGTAAATCACAACGGTATTTTAAGCAGAATTTAGGTTTAACTATTAAAATTATACCCTTTTTATTACTTGAAATGCAGAGGTATAGATACCTGCCCATATTCAGTTCTTACAAACCATTAAATTTAAACGGTAATGTATGGTAGAGTTTGCGTCTTAAAGCTTGCGTGGGCTGAGTTTAGAGTATCGGTAATTGCATGGATTCTCTTTATCCTTTTAAAATGAAACATAATGTTAGATATATGTATTAGGTAGTAGGTATTCTTCATTTTATATAATTCATTTAGTGGTAAAGCATTTACTTGGTAATGTAATGATAGCAAAAGACTTATACACGTCATTAATGATTGAAAAAGCCACATTTTCCGCTCCCGATTCATCCTGTTTGTATGAACAAAGCAATATTAAATTTCAAACTATTTTCATTGCCTTTTGAAATGGGTTCCGTATTGATCTGTGGTTTGTTGACCACTTCCCCCATGAAGGGAGCCAATAATGTCCATGCGTGTCTCTTTCATTACTTTGGGAGGGTAATATTCTAATGCGAGCCCTTTCTTTGATCAGACACGTCATTTTTATTAGCGAAGATAGTAAATTAATATTGATTGGACATTTATGAAAGTGCATTTTTGTGTATTTGTCCACTAACTCGCACCCCCGGGATTCCCTCGCGTGCGTGGAATGCATTTGTGATGTTAACGGCGTAAAGTGCACTGAATTCCGCCTGTCATCGCGAGGCATTAGCCGATAAAACTGCTTTGGCTATATCTATACTTATAATAAATCTGTAGAGAGGCCAATTCTGTACATGAAATATATTTTCAAAATAACTATCAGGGGGTGATTAGTGATCGATACTGATGCCAAAAATGCAATCAGTAAAATTTTTGTCTGTCTGTCTGTCCGTCTGTATGTTCCGTATAGAAACAAAAACTACTCGACGGATTTTAACGAAACTTGGTACAATTATTCTTCATACCCCTGGGCAGGTTATAGTATACTTACGAATTCCCACAGGAACAGGAATTAGCGGGAAAATCCTTTTGTATGAAAAATCTAAACCGCTTAAGTTAGACACTTAAAATTTGGCATGTAGGTACCTTAGTAAACTTAAAGCGTCAATAGGATATTGCAAAATTCTCACGGGAACGGGAGTTAGCGGAAAAAAACATTTGTATGAAAAAATCTAAACCGCGTAAGATAGATGAAGGGGGTAAAACGGGATCCACGCGTACGAAGTACGAAGTACGAAGTCGCGGGCGGCTGCTAGTTTGTAATATAAATGAATTCCAGTCGCCGTTGTTATGATTTGACTGCCTATAAAAAGAGCTAGGTACCTATTTATTTTTCATTGTGTACTATTGAACGAGACCTATTTGTAGATACATCGATATGTCGTGACTTGCTGCAGTTTAAACTGTATGCCTACCCATCATGAAAGTAGGAAATTAAATATTTATCAAGCCTATAGCAAATTGGTCAATACCAAGTTTTTTAACCATGACGAGGAAGGTTGGCCTGCATCTCACCTGATGAAAAGTGATGATTAAGCTAAATATGGAAAGTTTTGTGAATTAAGCGACAATAACCGAACGGTGGCCGTGGAGGTGTTGACACTGGCCGACTCGATATCCGAGGAATGCTAGTTCGAACCCCACTACCCACTTAGTACCTACATTACGTAGCCGCAAAACTGTTGTGGTGAACCCATTCGTAACACAAGCATAATTTCAGCTTGAGGGGATAATTGGACCGGCAATACACGGACAGCTCGAGCAGTTAGTCAGATCAACATACACGGACCGCTCTTGCAGTCAAGAGTCAACAGCTTGAAGCTGCCAGTGATAATTGCTCGAGCAGTTGGTATTAACTGCTCAACAAATCACAAGCGCACACGCCGTGGAATGAAGAAAGGGGCGGAGGTAACTGCGCGAGAGCTGCCGACAGCTCGAGCAGTCAGTGTATGGCTGGCGACTGCTTGACCGCACGATGAAAATTCACCGTGCTGTCGACCGCCCGAATCAGTTGCAACTGCTCGATCGGATCGTGTATGTGCTTTCATAGAACTCTGCAGTTCACTGTGCAGTCGCAGCTTGAAGCTGTCGACCCTGACTGCTTCAAGCGGTCCGTCTATTGCCGGCCTTAGTCTTCTTCTTTTGTCCTATCCATTTTCCATTGTTTGGGGTCGACTCTCCTCATTCTAGGGCGCCAATATACTTAATGGGACTATTAGTAATTTAAGACACATAGCTTATGGAACCTGTTTCTTCCTTTCCAGGGTGCCAAATGCCCCGAAGAGCTGCATCGGCGAGATCTTCAGCTCGGACGCGACGGACAGCAGCCCAGTGAAGAATGGCGCCGCGAGGCCTCGCGTAGTGCGCGACACGCCCACCCGTCCTCGCGACACCCATTCCAGACTCTTTGGACAGGTACATAAAGTTAGTTCTCACTTGTATTATTTCCTACACTAGAGATAAGCGATTTCAGAATCTCCAGATAGCTTGGAAGTTGATGTTCCCTAACCTTCCTCGCAATATACATTCCAGACTCTTTGGACAGGTACATAAAGTTAGTTTTCACTTGTATTATTTCCTAGACTAGAACCAAACACTCTTTAGACAAGTCTTTACAGCCACCTCTATTAGAAGCTGATGTTGATCAGCTGTTTTGGCGACACCCATTCCAGACTCTTTGGACAGGTAGATAGTTCTCACTTGTATTATTTCCTAGACTAAAACTAAGCACTCTTAAGACAAGTCATATCCATCCATTCCAGACTTTAGATAAGTACTAGATAACGCTTAATTCAATTAAAATGCACTTCTTGATTAGATCTCTATCCAAAGCAACTTCAGCTGAATACGTCTCAAAACCAGTATCTTGCCTCGTATAATATGGCCCTTTTTTGGCAAGGAAAGTTGATTATCTGCTAGTACCTACATTTACTTAAGGCTCCTCCAAATTCTCAGTCTCTATCTCTATCGACTGGCAATAGCTGTCATTAAATATGTCACAATGTTAGTAGCAAATGCTGCCAAGGAAGTAAACTGCTATCAAGAGTCTCTACATAAACCAGACCATCCACTTAATCCATCTTTGTAAAATTTCCAGACCGCTAACAGCAGCTCCGTCGCCCCAATGGTGACAGACACCATCCGCAGCCACATCCAGTTCGGAGAGGGGGAGATGAACGGGGGCAGCCTCCCGCACTCCCCTTCCAAGGCCATGACCAACGGGAGCGCCACGTCCACGCCCAGCCGAGGTGAGACGGGCCACGCCGAACACTGTGAGTCGATTCTGATGTAGGCACGAACGCACGGCTAGCAAGCATCATGGGTGGTGGCGAGTTGGTGTTGAATGGATTTCATTTGATTCAGACGAAATAGTAGATTCGATGCAACACACTGTTGAGTAGATCAGATTGGTGGCACAATGGATACTAGAAATAGGAAGCCCAGCACACAAGTGTTCTAACTCTTAGTTAAAATATGGTTTGACCCATCGCGGCATCATTAGGTTGGTTTAGAAAGTTGCGTAAATGGATCAACAATCATTTGTCAGAATCTCTTAATCCATTCAACATTTAAACCATTTCAAGCAGAACTTAAAACACGGTTACTGCACTTGTTGTGGGTTCTGCAATCGTTTGACGCTCGCGCACTATCTCCCAGTATCGGCACTCGTGCACGCTAGGAACTGCTTCAGTTTCTAATTCTAATTTAAGCTTGCACACCTCTCGTCTTTCACCTGTCATAATAAAGATCTTAATTGGAAACAAATCACACCAAAGTAATAAAGATAACAGCCATTTTCATACCGGACCATGTAATCTTCACAACGATCGAAACTAAAGATAGTTACCCAAGTGCTTGGCTTGGATTGAAGCATGATTGCACAACAATGTAATTAACTATGAAAATACTTACACTAGATGTAGTGTTATATTAACAATGGTTTGAATTTATAACAGTAACGATTGTCAATTGATATGAATGCAAATTAATAACATTTCAGTTTAGTATTGTAAGTTACAAATGAAAGTTTAGTAGTACCTATCTCCGGCGATTATGTGTATTGTATCATCTGGGTCAGAGTTTCGACTGCCACTACGCGGGTATACATCTTTCTGAAACCTTGACCCAGGCTGGGTAGAACGAATGAAAACCGTTTATTCTGTAAATGGTCAGCATCGTACTCTCCGCCGAAGAGGAATCCGGTGACCGGCGACGGAGTGCCGCTGGTGCCGCCGCGCCGCCGCCACCCGGCCGCCAGCCTGCGAGGTGCCGACCCGACCCCCGACCATCCCGACGCCTACGAACCCTACCCAGACCTATATGAACCTCAGCCCACCCACCGCTACTTCACCCGCGAATGGCCCCCACGACCTGCCGAGTACTACGTCGAATCTACCAGTCGTGCAGCTCCTAGAAGCAGGCACACCCCATACACCCTCATCGGTCTCAAAACCGACGATCCTGATATGACCCATCCCATTATCGACCTCGATTCCTTATCCCCTCAATTGGTACTCGACAGACACTGGCCCCCGTTCCCCGCTCAGCATTACCTGGAACCAGTCGAGCGAAAAGTGCCCTATCACCCTTTGCCTCCATATGCCTTCGTCGGCATGACTTCTGCTCTCGGAGACAGACCGCAGCCCGACTACAAATACTGTCCTATACCGACTCTAGATGCGCCAGTGGACCCCTTCCTTATCGCGAACATTGAGCCACCTCCAACACTTTTTAAATACGAACGTGACGGGCCAATTCCTGACGTGACTCCTCTGCCTACCCGAGTCATTCCTGGGCCGCACACCCTGGCGGGCTTCCCTCCTATCTTCCACAAACACGTCCCAGGCTACCTGTTCAACTCCAGTCGGCATGCAGAAGATTTCACGCCAAAGACGTACTATGTAGACTATGTCCGCCGAAGAGAGATGGGTGGGTGTTCAAGTTAGACTGAAGGAATGCCGTACCATTGCACTTTACGATGCATATCCCGTATATTGCATCGAATTTGAGCTTCCATACCACAAGTTGTAAATAGGTAACGATTATGATTTGCTGTTAAAAATCTACATAAAGATTCCTTCAAGTTTTAAATTGAGCACTCGTTACCCCTTTTATTATGTTGCTGCTTTATTAATTTAGGTGCGATATTAGAAGTATAGTCATAGATTTAATACAGTTTCTTTATAGTTAGGATATTTTGATGTTTCGTAAATGCTTTGTTGTGTCGTTTGTATTATGTAAGTGGAGCTTCTGTTCCGTAAGATGTATCTTTGATGTATATTTTTGCGACTATTAGTACTATAACTTATATTATCTTCTTTTGCACGCAATTCTTCTTTACTATACTGTTAAATGTTTCAATGTAACTTATATCGGCTTCAACTATTCTATGTAGTTAGATATTATAAATTGTTGGTCAGTTAGGTGATAGATTTACTGATCATGTAGGTAACTACTTCAGTAGTTAACTTTATTCCTATTCATTATAAATGTTGACTTTGAAATATTTTCTCTTTACCTTTCACTTCAAATTGAATCTAAATGTACTAATTCACTAGTAAGCATGATAGGATTGATAGTTCATTTCGAATTTCCTCTCAGTAGTCACATTCGTAGTTTGAGAGATTCGCAATTAGGTGAGACATTTATAAATGCATAGTGATAATTGTGATGATTGGACATTTCAGAAGGCAACCCGATCACCGGCGATGGCTACAAGTCGATGAACGGGCAGATTAACACGGTGACGTCCATCAACGGTACCAGCCACTTGATCCACCACAGCCGCGTGCCGCCCGGCGGGTTTTCCTCCGGCCTCTGGTAGGCTCCCCACCACTATCCCTCCAACTACCCGCGGCGACGACCATCTGATTCTCTCTTCACTCGCCGCCCAACTCTCGGCACGCGCGGACCTATAATATTTTAAACTATACCGCCTATAATTTAAAATATTATCGGCAACTAAATTGCATTTATTTAAACTTACCATTTTGTTAATCGACTAAATTTTTTCTTATAGTGTCTTTAAATTATAGTAACGCAACGCGCACCATCAAATTGCAACGTCCACTATAACTGAAAGGGTATATGTTGTTAATTGAAATCCTTAGCCTATCCCAGTAACTGTTTATTCAAATAATTTAGAATAGAATTATAGATATTTTTGTAATAGTAATATTTCGATAATTATTGTAAAAACGATAGATTTTCGTTGGTTGCTCTCTGAAATCTCAGCGGATTGATCAATGTGAACGCTGAAATATTGGCGGAGCGTTTTAATGGTCTGTCTGGGGTCTCATGGACCAACAGTATTAATTTAAGAACTTGATAAATTGTAACCTTTCACACTTTAAATATGTTAACGCATTGATATTGAGAATTAGGAGTGAGGAAACGTATCAGCAATATACCAAAACGAATAGTGCCTTGATTGGTGATGATTGAAATTCTATAAGAATCGATATACGTTTGACTTTACATCTCGTAGGAAAGTGATTATATTGTCTATATATTTCACGGTATAGAAATAGTAATCATACGGCACTGGCTAATTGATACATTCATAAATTAACATTAATAATTAATCAACACTATTTAAGTATTTCGTTTGTTGAATTTCATTATCGTATTTAAATAGAAGTTTTATAGAAATGCATTTATTTTGTCTTTTTTATACAAGTTTTTATTTCTTTTTTAGTTTATTTTCTACTCGTTTAGGATAATGGTGTAAAAATGGATTTGAATCTTGGTAGATTATCTGTTAACATATTGGGTGATTGTAATGGACCATAGCGTGTTAGATTATTATGTATAAGTGGTGACGTTTCTATGTGTAGGTAGAATGTAACAATCGTTAGAATTACCATATCATCTTTGTAAAAACGTTTTAATACTTCCTAACATGGAATCGCATAATCACTGGCCTAAATGTAACAAAACTGTTAATAGATAATAATCCATTATTTCAAAATAAAGTTTTTTTTATTAAATTGATGTTTGTATTCACGCAATCCCCTTAATTTTAAGTTTTACCACACAGTGACATGAAATATGACAAAATCAGTCTTAATTCTTATTTGAAATCAGATTGAAATATGAAAATCGATAAATATTGATAGCAGTCTCTATAATATGTAGAATCCGAATGCACACACAACATACAATTAATTTAATTAATCGAATCCAATAGTGTATGTCATGAAGATATAGTGAAAAGTAGTTAGAGGTTCTTGTTTGTTTAGCTCTTAAACTATTCTAAATAATTCAATTTTTCCTATATTCTTTTTTCTCCTAACATTTCTCTAAAGTCAGTTTGATCTAAGAAAAGTTCAATGTTAGATATTATTGGATTTAAAAACAAAGAACCGTACAGTCGCAAGACACGTTCAGCCATACTCGCAAAATGGAACTACAGATATCAATCACTAACAACATTTATAAATAAATAAACGAGTATTTAATAAAATGTCAATTGAAAATTTATTGAGAAAATTGTAAATGCATAAAGTGATAACTTACTAAATAACGAATTATTATTATAATATACTGGTCATCATAAAAATCGGCCCACCTACGTTTTACAGGAAAACTCGTTTCTACTGATACAATCATGGTACCCCAACAATATTGGTGTTATTTGAAAGCCCAATAAATACCCTTAAAGAAAAACACATTTAATTATTTAATAAACGATTAGCATAAACGCGATATACCTACAATAAAATGTGCCTTGAAAAAAGACCTCACTTTGGGCTCACCTCTGGGATCAATTAGACCAATTTTTATGGTTATAAAACCAAATAATGATCTCACGTGTCTTCTTTAACAGATGGATAGCGATTAATCCCAACTTAACAGTTTTATAGCCATAAAAGTTGGCTCAAGCGTAACTACCTATTTTTTGAAGAAGTGACTCTGGATTCTTCTACAGACACATTTTTGACAACCTTTCCTTTAATGAAATGAAGTTTAGAACTACGCTTTTAAATGGTGCCAATATTGGTGGGAAGTGGGGATGCATACGTTTCAAAGTGCTTGTCGCGGGAGGGTCGATTTTTGTGATGACCAGTGTAGTTGACTGACTTAGCGTTTTAACATCTCTTTATCAAGTTAAGACGAATCTCAGGCGAGTTTCATACTTCAGTTTCGCAATATAATACCTGATGGTAACTGCTTGTAAGACATTGAAATTGGAAACAACAACAAGTAACGTTACTTAGAGTCACAATAGCTCACATGCGACTTTTAGCATCGGCGAACAGACGCAAAATCGCCGATCGCCGTTTGCTATGCCCCTTACACAAGAAAAAAATTACTAACTAATAATAAATAACAAAGAGTCCCTACGGCTGAAATATTTACAAAAGACCTATAATTATTGCTTTAAAAACGGAATTAAATCGCTTAACCTTTAAGTTCTTCTTCTAATTCACTTAAATTGACTTGAGGTACTTCTTGCTCCGCTCTGCTCCTTGATTTTTCCTTCTTTACGTTGATGGGAGATTCGATCTCAAACGTGACTGGTCCGTCGTTCTGGATTGATACTTGCATGTATGCACCGAATTGGCCATCTGGAAAAGTACAATATTTCAATTATTTGCTCTCATAATGTAAGAAGTTTTATTAAAAGCAAAGAGCCCAATATTGAATCCTAGAGAACACCTAATGTAGATTGGGGTGTTCCTTAAAATTGGTCTCCAGCTTAGATTAAATAAAGCCTAAACGGATAGCTTCGTTAAAAATGAGGAAAAATCTTATGTCAGTCTCCAGTAAGTTACAAACTTTTTGTAGCTGTATTTTAATTCTTGTAAGAAAGGAACTTATTAAGCTTATGGAATAATTTAAAACACCATAGCGATAGCAGTATATTATTTATTAGAGATGAAACGGATAGTTGTTTGGCCGGATACCGGATACCGGATATCCGGCCAGCTGCTAGGCCGGATAGCCGGATATCCGGCGGCCGGATAGTTGGCACATTGTCTCGTTGCATGTCGTGACGAGTTTAGCGCCGCACAGGTGCATGGAACGCGATCAGTGGGTCTACTAGTAGACTAGTCTAGTCACACTTTTCAAAAATCGAATCAGTCCGAATAGAATGTCAGATTTTGCCACGTGTCTAGGGGGCAGATCGTGAGTGTGTGATTGAATAGCGAAAATTAAATTATAGCCTGACCAGGAACATAAAAACCCTGGCATAGAGGCGCGTCAATTGCATTTGATAGTGCAACACTGAGTACAGTCGTACCTGTGTTAAATTAATAGGCTAACTTTATGTATCAGGATTCAGGATTACGGGTTAATTTAATGTTTTCATAAATTAACGAAAAAATATTATTATAGGTAACCTGGTTTAAATAAATTAAATGAAACCATCAATCGAGCTAGTAGGATTTATTTTATTATTCATCAATAATCAAATTCAGAACTTGAATATTCAACTGCAATGTCTGCTCATGAACGCTTCAAACTCGGTACTTCTTTCCCAATTCCATAAAATTCAACACTTAGAAGGTGACAATTTGAAACAAACCACAGCTAATTTTCATAGTTTTTATTTTATTTTTATTTATTAGGTACACCAACAAAGTCACATACACAATATAGTTCATACATTTTAACATGGTTTAACACATGATACGTATATGACCTCAATTACAGGTATACACAGCATTTCTTTTTGCAATGTTAGGGTAATTATACACTAGTAAAAACAAAAATCGATTGAATAGAGTCTAGAGTTTAAGCACCGAACAATATAAAGTACTTAGTAATTGTTCATTTTGTTCGGTGCCTAAGTCGTTCCGAATACAGGCTTGAGTTTTGACTATACTATACGATAAACATGTCAGTCAATTTGACAACCTTTGTCGGAAACATTATTCAATGAAAATATTGTCCGAACCCTTATTATTTCTCTTCGACAAATACTTTAACACATTGTGAACCACTTTTCTTTCATGACTATAAAAAGATTTTAGCAATTTAATTCACAAAATCAGTTGCGTACATTTAAAATAAAGTTTGTTTACACTTTGACAGCAATAGACTGACATGCAAGATGACATGTCAATGAAGTTTTCAGTTACTGTTGCCATTAAAAGAAATTAGTACCATTAGTTTTCCGCAACATGGCGAGGGTTTTTATGTTTCTGGTCGGGCTATAGTTAACTTGCTGCATAATCTGACTGAAATGCATCATGACATCAGACCATTAATGAAAAAAAGATCGCCTATTTTATTTGGCAATATTTGGACTTAACAGATACTATTTATGTATTCGTCATTAGAGTCCAGCCCAGAAAAAGAAATTAGTTTTTTTAAGGCCTTAATATGCCCACTAGCCCAGAAAAAGAAATTAGTTTTTTTAAAGGCCTTAATATGGCTTTTTGTAATTTTTTGGACTTTAAATAAAAGCCGTCATTATTATAAGCCATTTTATTGATGTTTACCTCAAAGATTAATGTATTTCATTTTATTCATAGAAAATTGTCGTTGTTTTTTAATATCCGGTATCCGGCCGGATAGTGAGTTACTATCCGGTATCCGGCCGGATAGTAAATTTAGGCCGGATATCCGGCCTACCGGATAGTTACCGGATATCCGTTTCATCTCTATTATTTATTTAGTAATGTTCATGATTTATGTAATCAAAAGATTTGTCAGACAACAAATACTATAAGATCCAGTCAGAAACCTAAGCATCAATACTGCTCCTTAATATTATATCAGCTAAGTTGTATGTTTGTATAAATCACAATAGGAAGTAGGTACCTTTAATTTTTTCAGGTTGATATGAATCTTTTAACATTTGAAGGAATTTTTCATAAAATTCTTTGGATTTCTCTGCAGACATTGCATTGTGGAAGTCAGGTCGATTGCCCTGAAAATAATAAAAAGATGTAACACTAAATGATAAATAGCCATGTAGGTAGACTGTGTTCCATAAAATAAATCCCATATCTATCAATAGTACCAAAATTATTTTTGCTTTTATTGATCAACTCAACTATTGCTATCTTAACTACTAAATTACTAAAATCTGTAGAATTGGGAGCATATTGCTAATAATAAAAATAATATAAATAAATTCATAGAAAATAACATTTAAAACAAATAAGTAGTACATACCTTCCATGTGTTGTATAAGGTGAATTGACTGACACACAGCAATTCATAATCTTTGTCTACTACAGTCTTCTTCCACTTAGTGTTGGTTTCATCGTCAAAAAGTTTTACACTGAGCAGCTTCTTCACTCTGAAATATAAATACATTTATTACATCATTTAAATTCTCATAACACAATTAATAGTAAGTATCAGGCGTTCATCATCAACAGCCCTTTACAGTCCACTGCTGGACTATGAGCCTCCTCCACTATAGTGGAGGGTTTTGCCATAATCTCCACGCTTGGCAGGCGGGTTGGAGATCGCAGTTTAAAAGATTGATGTTTTTCAGAGAGCGCTGCTGCCCATTCTCTGTTTGATGTGTAGTCCCTAAGTCGCCTCTTACGACACCCGCGGGAAGAGTAGGGGTTGGTGACAAATGTATTCTACTCTGCCGTCACCACACGGCAGTATTTTACACACTTGGTGTAGTTGTATTTATTTGTTTTAAACTTACATGTACATAAAACACTACATAAGGCGAACTTAAAGCCATTCGGCATTCTCCTCCAGTCAACCTTAGAAACTCCAGTTAAACTTGAACCAACTGAAACCAACTGAACATCAGGCGTTACTTTGCGGAAATCCCGAAGTATTACCCCCTTACTAATAAAACTTACACGCTCGTTGAACAGTGTTTTAAAGTGACGTTTAGTATGGAAATGTCATTTTAAAACAGTGTTCAACAACTGTGTAACTTTTTATTAGTAAGGGGGTTAGGTTCTATTTCCAGTTTCCAGTAGTGGCTTTGTTAGGTACACAGCCACTTACTCTGCTGACTTTCCAACCAGATGTAAAAATTTACAGGCATTTCTGGTTACTGAATCTGATCATGCTATCACATGATACAGCATGTTTATGTATAAAGTCTGAGTCAAAGTTAAATAATATGGTGATAAAGACAGGGAAAGCACCAAAATAAATAACTAGGTACAAGTATTTAGGTTCTACTCACATGTACTCCATATCTTTGATGGTGTCATTGGTGGATATACCGATGAGGACACACAGTCCTTGCTCTATGCTGCTGATGACTTCTCCATTTACTGGAAGGTATAATAAAGTACATAATAATAAAGTTTCAGTTGGTTCAAGTTTAACTGGAGTTTCTAAGGTTGACTGGAGGAGAATGCCGAATGGCTTTAAGTTCGCCTTATGTAGTGTTTTATGTGCATGTAAGTTTAAAACAAACAAATACACCTACACCAAGTGTGTAAAATACTGTACTGTTATTAAAATAATTATAATCCATGCAAAGCCATTCTTTCAAAGCTATAGCCATAACATGTTTTGGATTTATTTCAAAACTGGCGAACAATTGTATGATTTCATGACTGAAACAAGTTATCTCACACAAAGAATAGACTGCACGAATATATTTTTTGCGAAAATAGACATGTTTTATACCAAAAAAAGCTATATTAACAAAAACATAACCTCTACAAAAAGTTATTGTAAGTTTACCAACCCGCCACATTTGCTTTCATAACGCGTTGTATTAAAGCCTTCATTATTTTTAATAAGATTATTCCACAAAATTAATTAATTAAATGCAGTAAAACTTCCAAAATTGTAACATATGTTTTTGACAATAACTGGAACTGACATTCTTTTTTTTTAATTTAAAATCGCAGCTTTGGATTAAAGTGAAATGGTTATAAAAACTATTAGCCGCTAGATGGCAGTAATGTAAAGCAGGTATCTAAAGAAGTTTTACTACTCGACACTAGATGGCGCTGTTAAACAACTTTTTATGAGGCGTTCTAACATTAACTTTTTAGCGATTAGAGTCGCTTCTCAAACTAATTTATAAATAAATAAATTATGAAAATAAACAACTTGAAAAAATCGAACTGCCTAAGGCGGGACTAGAACCCATGACCTTCTGCTTGCCGGGCGACTCTTTCTCTTCTTGGTCGTGGGTTCGAGTCCTGCCTTAGGCAGTTCGATTTTTTCAAGTTGTTTATTTAAAATTCTATAACTTTTTGATCGAATTTTTCTTTAAAGCTAATTTTTTAGAGATTCTCAAGTCATTCTAGTCACTCTCAAGAAGTAGGTAGGGCTACCTGCCTTACTTACTTACCTACTTAGAACAGTTAATTAAGACTTTCGGCAAAATACTGCCTCTAACATAACAGGTTGTGCGCCATGAACCATAGAGGCAGGATCTCACAAAAGTAGATAGATTTTCGGGAGACCATAGCAAGAGCTAAGAATTTAATACTCGCGATGGCGACTCCATTTAGCGCAGACGTCCAGGGACTATTACAACCCACTCTTCACTCCGTAGGGCCAACGGATTAAGGGCTGGGGGAGATCCAACTCCCATTATGTACCCGGTACACAGCCTATCATCAATGTAACGAGTCATCGTAGGTAGTTAACTTTCGCAAACTAGGCAAAAGTAGGTAGCTTAGTTTCTGAATAACAGGACTCCTATAAACTTTGCTAGATTAGCGACAATAGGTCAGCAATAGTCAGCATTGGTTTCGATTCGATAACTTTTCGCTTCGCTGGTTCGATGCCCGTCGACCTTTGGATCATTGTTTGTGGTGAACTCATTCCCTACAAGGAGTAACAGAGAGACGGCAGTATCAGTATACTTACTACTTATATACTATATAAAGTTGCCGAATTTTACTGTGCTAAGGAAAAGATGTCTGCGAAAAGAGCCTTGTAAAATCTGTCGCTTCCTCATGTTTTTAACTTACCTACTTAAAGCCACTAGAAAATGTAGGTACAGACGACGGCATATCAAACTATAGTTTTTTTTTGCAAAATAGCACCTAAGTATTGCAAATAATGACGCCTCAGTATGTAGACTTTATTTATGTGCCTTCTGTACCTACCTACCTATTGCTAGTGTAGATTCAATTTTGAGAATTTGCCTAAAATATTTTAGTAATAGGTAAAAGTCGAAGCCGCAAATGCAAATTGCACTATTTTCAATTACGTAACTATGCGAAACAAAAAAAATGCGTTAGGTTACTTCAAACAATTTGAAAAACCCTGACTAAAGTCTAATCTTTCAGAAAAAAGTCTGGAAAAAGTTTGCGATGTGATATTGAGTGATTGAGTAAATGATAAGTTTAGTTTGTGTCCTATGTTTGTAATGTAGGTACCTACTTACATAAGTGTGTAACGATTTTAAATTCCCATTATGTGGGGTGGTTACATCTATCTAGTATATATTTATTGCAGAATAATTATGTTTTATAGCATAAAAACTAAATCTAAGCCAAATGTAATGCTTTATTCACGAAAAGAAAATATCATAAATAGAGGCAGGTATCGGGTTTAATAAAACGTACATGTAGGTAGTATTCAAGACAGACTAGTTTATTTTTCAAAAAGTCTTACAGCTAAAAACCACAAGAAAAAACTTAGTTATAAAGCGTTGGTACAATAAGCTTAGTATACACCGGGAGCATTGTGCATAGAAACAACATCGAAGTCTTTTAGATTTAATACTTAACAAGATCACACTTATTAATATTTATTATTTCGCCAATTCATCACACTCCCAGAAACAATCAGACATACATTTCCAAATAATTATTTTGAATAAATATAGTTTTGTTACTCGTAAGTCGTACGTAACTCAAAGTAACGTACCTACTCAAGCACTGCGCAAAAAGTATGTTGTATTGAGGAGAGAAAAAAATTATATTCTTTCATGCCCATACCTACAAAATTGAAGTTTATGAAATTTGAAACTTTCAAATTAAATGTAGAGATTATACCAAAAGTGATACTCATACGTACAAGCAAAGTACTTATTTTGTGATTTATAAAACAACACAACTACTCAATACGTTAAAAATGAACACAGTGATTGGTAGATCTGTGCTTAATTCCACAAATACGTGTTACTTAGATTAAATGCAATTTTCATATCGGACTGAATCTATGATTTTCAAGAAAGTATTTGTTTTATTACTAAAATTTTCATCGGCGGGTCTAAAGGTTAATCTAATTTATTCAACACGAATCATAACAGTTAACATTTTTAATTCCTTTTTTGCTAAAGTACGAAATCAAATACTTTCCTCAATTTCATACCTACTTTATGAAATAAAAATTACTTATTAATATAAAGTTCTAAAATCACTGTCATTTTATACGTTTCAAAAACGATTCTCAAAGTTGAAACACATTATGAAAGTTTCGAGACATGATCGCGAGAGTGAATTGTTGAAAATTTGACAATGCGTGAAAAACTAAAACTTTGTTTTCAAATATTTTTCGAAAACTGGGAGGAGAATCTTCAAATGGAAAATTATTAAATAATTCCACTGATTGTGTCACCATCCTAATCACGTTTTGAAACATATCTTTAACAATTTTGAACTTTTAGTTCGTAAAATGGCACGACTTGTCTAAAGTCAATCTAATGTTTTTAAACGTAACATACTTTTAATGCGTCTTCTATCTTTGAACCAAATTAAAACTTTCGTACAAAAAAACTATAACTAAAGATACTTATTTTACTTTAATAATAAGAGAGTATTATAATCCTTTCGAATAAGTCTTCGTACCATGATTTTAACCTTAATGGCAGTGAATGAAAATATTTAAGTTAAAAAATATTGTAATACTATGTTTTTGAATGTCAAACCATGATACCTAAAAGAGTGTAACTGAATTCAATTTTAAATAATATAAGGATACTAACAATATTATTTAAAAATTGACCAAATATACGTCAAATACACGGCTAACCATTCATTAATCATATCAAACAATTATGTGGTACGAAGATACGTAACTTAACTAAGCAGCCTCTTACAATACAACCTCATAATGCTTACTTATAAACAACACGTAACCCTACAATAGCCACAACTTTTTCATTTAAGACACTGCATTTAATTATTGCTGGATAGGGTTACCTAATCAAATGTTTTCTACGCCTACAAGGGCCGTGTTTATAAACGACATTATTCCGGGACATTCTAAAAGGCTTACACGGTGCGATTACAACAATAAATACTTCATACGTAACTAATGCCCGAACAGTTAACGCTCAAAGTTAATTCTCTGTCTTCTCTGTCTTTGAGACAGCAGCACAACCATATTAATAAGAAATCTACGGTCAAATTGAGGTATTTTTCAAGAACAGGCGATGACAGAAACTTAACTTTAAGATCGTAATTCAGCAGTCAGACAGTCGAGATCTTTGTCACTGTTGTCATATGTACTTTGGTTCCCGTTTACACTGGGAACTGACATATCACTAGGACTTACAATAGCACAACATACGAGCCGAAATACTGGCAGAGATAAGTCAAAACTGAGCAATGGACATACAGTTCTCAAAAAAAGTGCCGCCATGGAACGCAACTGAATCCAAACCAGGCACCTTAAAGGAATGTCGCAAATCATAAAAAGACAACATAGATATTACAAATACAGATGTGACCGAAACTCACATGAGAAAAAAGGGAAATAATTTACAGATCTTTTTCTGTCTTCAGTTTGACGTCATACGGTGCGGACTTGTTGGTGCGGACTTGCAGCAGTAGTCGCTGCGGTAGTCCGTACACTCGGACGTACTCGGCGTAGCGGCGTCTGTTTTCTGGGTTTTTCATGATGCTGGTGACGAACTCGGAGGTTTGTTGTTGGAGTTCGATGATTCTTTGTTGGATGAGGCGGTTCTTGTGGACGAGAGCGACTGTTTTCCAGGCTAGGTCGTAGATGACCTGGTTTTGGGTGGCGGGGTCGACCGGTGGTGCGGGGTCGGCGCCTTGGTTAGAGTCATCGCTATCAGGGGGTGTTAGAGGCAGGTTGTGGCGACGGCGGTGGCTGCGCCTTTGCTCGCGCAGACGGTTCAGATCCGCCCCTGTTGACAAAAGAAAGAGTCTTTTAGACACTTGTACTATAATTATCGGTGGATTAACTAAGGTAGTATCTTATTATTAAAGTAACTTATTTATAATTCGCATCTGCTTATTCTTCCTCTCTTCTTAGTTTGCAGAACAAGTGTTAAGCCGAAATAATTTCAGTGTTTAATAAAATAATGTTACATGAAATTAAATTGTACAATAATATTGCTATTATTAAATTTATAGTTGTTACGCAATTACAATAGATAGTACCTATGTAGATACCAAATATCTCTAAATTTTTTGTATAGTTACAATTGTTTGTGCAATTGTTCTCGAAGATAATTAAAATTTGACTTAAAGCAATATTTACTGCTTTAAGGTTAAAGGTGCAATATTAATAATTTAAATACTTATTCGTATTTTAAAAGTCATTTACAAACAAAAAGCAAAGTTAATAAATAAGGTATAATTTTTTGTAACTGCCGAAATGGCATTTAAGTCTAAAGACATCCGAAGTATTTACTTTCAGTAAAATCCTTGCTTATTTTCTGTAGTTAAGTAAAAAATAAAAAGGGTTACATTGCCAATACAGTTACTAATAAGTAGTAGATAAAGTGATAAAACTGTTTATTATTTCTGTTGATAACTTTTTATTTTTAAGACTGTGTAAAAAAATAAATGGTATTATTATTGTTCATTATAAAAATCTGATTTTCCTGTTCACCAGTTGTGATAACGAGGTGAATAAACTCAGCAATATGTGACTATGTACTGTATTACAGGACACGTCATTGTTTGTTCAGACAGACAGTAAATATAATTTTAATTACATACTATTCAGACAAAAATTCATAAAAAATCTTTCATTACATTAAGTTTTCGAGACCAGCATTATTAAAATTACTGATTAACATAGAGTTCCAGACATACATCATTCGCTTTGCAGTGAAACGAGTCAAAAGTTTTGCTCTTATTCAAAATAAACCCCTGCATGATGCAATATTCCCCCCTTCTCACCCCCACTCATCGCTCAGCAGACAACTACCCACTCACACCACTCTCGATTCACCCTTTTCAACCGACTTCAAAAAGGAGGAGGTTCTCAATTCGACCCGTATGTTTTTTTTTTCATCACTCCCGTTGCAGATCGGAGCTCATAACTCAATATTCTATTATAACTGGCTGGTTCGTTCCAAACTAGTTTTAAAAATGGAACTGTCATTTCGCGAATGTTTTTTAATCTTAATTGTTACTGAATTTGTTTCTAAACTGCCAGCTATAAAACAATAATTAAAACTAAATAGACTTGCCAAAACAAACATTATTAATATGACGTCAGAATAAGGTCAGGTTTCGTGTAATTCTGTATTGTAATTGTGCATTATCGCCCGCCCAAACTCGCCAACTATGTAAATACAAGTACGTTAAGGCCACGTGATCACTGCAAACTGCACATAAATGCAACAATAAACGTATTGTTACGCGTACTGAGTACTCAATATGCCTATAAGCGTTTGTATTACGTATTTTACGGTGGTGTAACAGAAATAATCACGATATTGGCGTCAAAAAGCTATGAAGCTGGCATAAAATAAAACTAGATCGTTAAAAACTTTAAAAGTAAATCGTTCCAATTTCAAAGTTTGAATCTGTGTTCTTTTGTTCCATTCATCCAGTTTTCGACAGTCGGTTGCGATGCATTGTTCGCTACGGCTACGAACTACGGCGCGTGACGGTTGCTGCTACGTCGAGTGTCATGGCCACGTGACTTCCTGACATGCAGGGCTTTTTGCACTAGTTTTTAGGAAAACGTAAGTAAAAGATTGCTTCGGCTACGAAAAAGCATTTTTATAACGTTATTAATTAATTCTTCTAAACTAGTTGGCTAATGCAATTCTTCAATCGCCAATTATCTACGATTAAAAAATAAGTAGGTAATACTAATTCAGCTAAGTCGTTCGTATTTAATAATAGCTGCTTACAACAGCATCGTTTAAAACCAATAAAAGATAATATTATCATTTAAAGACGTCTGTACTTGGAAACTTTCCTAAATGTAGATCACCTAGCAATTGTCTAACCTCACGGCATACCTACCTTGGGCGCTATCTCTTAATTTGTGAAAATTTTGGCAAATGCTTTCGCTGACGTTGTTATGACGTCACACAAAAGGTGTAAATGCGACTATAAAAGTAAGAGCCAGACAACAAACAACGCGTGTACCAGCCACGTGCCCTGAAATGCACCCATAATTCAGAAAATATGAATTTAAAAACCCGATGTTTCTTTCATAAAACGAATCTGTATTATCATAAATGATTAAAGATAGAATTCGAAGGCATAAAAGGCCGATTATGGTATCGATCGATAGCAATCCACTCGATTTGGTTTGTACCGGTACCACAGCCGGTACTAAAAAAATTATCAGTTAAATCTGATGGCCACGTGCGTCTGTCGAATTGATAAAAATTTAGGTGACGGAACACAAAGATTTAAAAAACATGTCGGTTTTACACAGTTTTTAACTTTTTAAGCTAGTGAATCTTAAAGGTAGAGTCTCATTTTGACTATTTTCAGGATTAGCAACTATCAACTAATGATTTACTATTCACCTGTAAAACTATTTCTATCTTTGTTCCCCTTATCGAGATGCGTCGATGTCCGAGAGCGACAAATAACGTCCGAAATACAAAATCATATGCACGCCCATGATGTAATGGCACCTATAGCTCAAAATAAACCTGTACAGGAGCTGGAAGCTTCACCCCATCCTTCATTAATGGCATTTAATCAATACACGCACACATACGCCGTTTGTGCACAGCCTGCCCCCAAGCTCTACATATAGTCCGCGATAACCGGCAATTTTAGTAACAAATAAAACCAAAATATATCATTGACACCGGCCCCCCATGTAGTGATTTGAGTAAACTTAACTTTAATTTAAAAGTGATAAGTAACTATATTGAGACTGTTAACTGACTGATTGAGCTTTTATCATACTATCTTTTTCGTGGCTTAGAACTAAAAACTCTACTAAGCTTTTCTCTGGGTCTCAAGTGAATTACCAATAATTTAAAAACCGGTTTAGTCCTTTAAGTGCCAAAGACTAACAAAAATCCATTTAAATTCCATGCATGTTGACATAAAGAAATGAATATTTAGTTATTAGTTATGTAAGCAAGTACTGAAACAGGAAGGACTATATTTCATAAATTGTCCGACTCCACTGGCGCGAGAGATACCCGGACAGACAGAAACCCGCTCGTGGCCCATACACGTGACCGGGCGATGCAACGTGCAATGCAAAGCTTTCTACGAAATACGAGGAGGATATTCCCTTTGTGTTTATACAGTACGTGTACACATCACATTATACAGCATCACATTTTTGTAGCAAGATCACCCTTATCACAAGTACATAATGTCCAATGGTGTTAACTTGATGCTTTGTTACAAATATGATACTTGATTCCGTTGAGGCGATTCCGTTTTGTTACTCCGAAAGTTTTGTTACCGCGTCGCTGTCGCTTAACTTTAATAAATTTTTTATTGTTATACAGAATAACTTAGTAGACTACTGAAAGCTCGTGGAAGGCAACGTGATAATAAAAATAGATCGGTTTGTTTGTGATTTCGTAACGTGTTACAGATTAACATAATCAATCATGGACAGAGACATATTAAACGGATGTTTGTTAATTTTTCAGCAAACATTTATTATGTTAGTAACAAAATTTTGTTTATCTTTAACGTACTTAAATAACTATCTTGATTCAATGAATGGACTTTATTACTATTTATTTAATATTTTATTACCAGTTTTATCAATTTGATGAGGATTACTTTCATAATAATTTTATTTATTATGGTTTGTTTGTATTGTTAAGTTGACAACATAGTAGTTATATGTAATAAAATTACTCATTGTTTTACATCCTTTAAGTTATTTTTAATGACCATAAGTTATCAATTACTGTCAAATCTGAATCATTGTTGATACATAATTAAGATCAAAATACTGTATGTTAAAGATGAAAGGGATGTCCATATTATGGACCAACCCTTTCATTATACATCATGTGACTAACGTATGTGATAGTGTTAACAGGGGGAAGAGAGCCAAATTGGAGATATCTAGGTAACTGCATAACTGTAGATTAAAAATCAATACGTGACTGAAGCACGACAGTTTTACTGATTGTAAATGATGATCACAACTCATACCAAATTGATTGTTTCAATTTGACAACATCAAGGATTAATGCCTACTCATTTCAGGACGTAATCGTTATTGCTCTTAAGTCACGTGTACACCTAAATCTACGTATGATTCGGTGTCTCAGTTATCGTTGCCGTTGGCAGGATGCAGGTGCAATTTAAGCTTTATGATTGATTTATTATGGACTTATTTGGCTTGCGTAATTTTGCTCGGCTGTAACACAAACGCATCATTGTGCTGGGAAAATGGATAGGTAATAGTAACGGTTTTCCTCTAGCAGAGACCACGTGAGATGCTATGACGTAAAGTTGCGGGTGAACGAACTCGGAGCGCGATGCGAAAATTCGAATCGGCCGGGGCCAGACGGTTCAGTAGTTGTTTTTTGTTTTAAATCGACAGTGTTTTGTTTTAAAGATGATGTACTTCACGCGACTGGTGAAAATGAAAGGATTTAACACGTCCACAACAACAAAAAAGGTTTCTCTTTACATAAACAATTGTTTATAAGTGTACTTTACTGTTGTTTTGATTATTTTTTATCATTACTAAAGTGTTTTTATGTGTAGGCGTTTCTTATCGAGTGATACCATAACGACGTCTACGACGCACTTTCGTACCTCCCAAGCGATTGTTGTAAACATTTGTAATCTCAGCAAATTCTCACAGTTACAGATAAATCTGTGAGGTGGGAAATGAGTGCATTCTAAATTGCGAAAGCAAAATGTCTTTGTTAGTTATATTTTTAGAAATCTGCACACGAGAATAATTGCGATTGCGATTTCTTTACGTTGTTATGAATAATCCAAATGGACCATAGAAGTGAAAAAGCTTCTAAAAAGCTTGGCTCTACATACAGCTCGAGGGAAAATACGTCTCTTTGTCATTTTTATCGATATAGGCACCTATTCCTATTTTTTCAACCAATTGGTTTTTATTATGGGAATGGATCTAAAAAGCATCTTTCTAACTCCAGATTGTTGTTATCACCAACCAAACTATGTTACATAAATCATAATCAACGGCTAACTCCAAAACAACTCTACTTCCCGCCAATTTTCCTTCCAGAACTGCTATTGACCTATTTAGAGGCCGATGGCGACCACTTTAGATTCAGCAGATGGTAATGGGGGGCTGTCACGACTGCATTAGCCATAGCAGTGTCAAGTTAAGGTAGGTAGAAACATATTTGCGTCTGCTTTGAGGAAGGAAATTTGATCACTTTTCCCGAAAGCGGTTAATTAAAATTGCTAAATGCTAATTAGCGTAAATATTAACCTACATTTTTCAATATTAAATTAAAAAAAAAATTATAACTGAATGTTTGCCGTTCCCAAATTGTATTACCCAAAACATTAAAAAAAACTTCTAAAAATACTTCTAATGCATTTTATATTTCAAAATATTTTTTTAAGAAAGATTATGTAAATGTAATTTATTAAAACTTTAGACAAAACAAAGTTGACGCACAACGAATAATTTTTGTTTTGATTTTGATAAAACTGGTTATTTATTTATAGTGATATTGTATTTTAATTAATTTTCATATCAAAATAGTTCTGAAGTTACACGATAAGTAGGTCATGAATTCATGATAGTACCTACGTCAGAGTTAGGGACATATCATATACCTAAACGGAAAATTAAGCTGAGCTTTATGATGCAACTACTAAAAAAAACCGAAATTTCCGAAATCAAAACAAAAAGAGAAATAAAGTACCCAACATCTGAAAAACACAAAAACAAAATAACGAAGCTCTGCGCATGTAACCTAACAATCAAAGATAAAATCAGAACTTGAAAATTTGAAAAGAGCATGAAATTCCACACAATAAATTACCATAAATATCGCTGCACTGTTACTAATTCGTCGGCGTCCATTTGTCGTAGGTCAGTGTTCAGTGCTCTCCATCACAAATCACGGATTATTACACAGATTATTACTAGAGAAAGATAAATGAATCATAAATACCTCTCTTTATTTTTCTGGTTCTTTTTTCACACATCTTAACGGCACACAGTTTGGCGATTAACAAGCACTGGTAAGCAAAGAAGACGAACGCGAGGTGCGTGCGTCTTGGTTGTGTTCCGAACGTGGAGTGGTTTGTTTGAAAATCGAATGTGCAGACAGGCCGCACGGCGCGGCGGGGTCTTGCCTCGCTGCTGGGAAGCGAGACGGAAGCTGGTATTGCTGATACGCTTTTCATTTTCCCCTATTTTGTTTCCATTTTCATTTGATACGCCGTAACTTTCCTAGTTCTGATTCAGAAAGCTCATTCTTATAGGAATCCTTTCGCCCAAGGCTATGAATAACTAACAAAGGTAAGCGATGACCTTCAGAATTCCATAAAACTTAAGCAAGTAATGTAGGTGGGAATCACTATAATAGTTACATATTTCATAGTTTTAATATTTACCCCTCATAAAAGACTTCAACGCACTAGTAGACTAGGTCTATGAAATCTTAACAGATATTTAAACATACATAATAACCAACTTCTATTTTAAGGAAAGAAAATCCCTGTAAGAAAAGAAAAAGACACAGTAAAACTTCCTGAAAACTAAATTTTCCCCATTTCCAGGCAGAATTTTCCCATTTCCGCGCGGCAACTCCACCGCGCGGGCGAGTTCGGCTCACCGCGCATGGGCCAACACGTGCTGTCGCGGGCATTCGGGCCGCTATCTGTCGCACGTGGAGTCGGGAATCAGTTAATGGAGTCGTTAATGTAATCGCTTTTCACCGCCCCTCTAAAGTCATAACAGACTTGCGCCCGTATTCACAAACAATGAGGTCTTACAGTGCGCGTGGACGCACAAGTTGACACAAGAACGCTAACTGCGAAACTATTCAGGGATCAACACCGTATCGCCTTTCGCGAGCTGTCATCGCCTTTCGCGAGCTGTCATCTCCTTTCGCGAGCTGTCATCGCCTTTCGCGCGCTGTCAAAGGCGAGGCGAGGCGTTTACGTTACGATGCGGATAACGCCCATATTACCAACAATACTATGAGGTCTCGCTGTGCGCGTGGACGCACAGGGTTACGAACCAATGACAGAGCTCTATTCAACGCTGTGCGTTCGATTTACTGCTTCACTTAAGCAAGCATCGTTATTGAATACGGGCGTTATCAACTTGAAAAGGGATCGTCTTTCGCGAGCTGTCATCGCCTTTCGCGCGCTGTCAAACACGAGGCAAGGCGTTTACGTTACGGTGCGGATAAGTGTGCGTTGCAGTATGGAGTTTCATACAAAGAATATTGACCGCCTCGAGTTGATGCGGTTACGATCCCTTTCCGGGTTGATAAATGTGCGACGACCTTTAGTGGTTAATGTGGTTCAGGCGCTGTTTGGAATGAATGGGCTGTTAATTGATTTTAGGGCATGTAAAGGTACAAGTAATTGTTTAATACAGTCACGTTGTGTGACATACTTGTATTTAAGGTATAGTTTACACTTCCGTGCTAAAATTTTGATACGCAATTTGTGTTGTGTGTAAAATATTATTTGTTGAATGGAATTAAGTTTATATTTTTTTAGTAAATCATTTAATTACCTAATGCAATGTCTTAGTGATTACTTATAATTATGTATTTAAAATTTGAGGTAAAGTAATAGTTTTTTGATTATTCGGACGTTTCCAAATTTCCATGTAAGTTCCTGACTTACATCTTACCTGACTCACACTAGTTCCTTAGTGTGAGTCAAAAAATAAGCAATTTTAGTGTAACGGAAACTCATTCATTTATTAAATAGTGAGATAGCCCTAGTTCCGAGCCTTCTCGGACCCCTGTAATTCAGTAGCCAAGTCAGGGAGCTTGGAATTTTCCATGCAAAGATTGTTCATGGCTATAAGCTTGGAATTTTCCAAGCAAAGATTGTCCAGTCCATAAGCTTGGAATTTTCCATATAAAGATTGTCCATATTATACCTAGTAATATTGTATGTACAGCCTTGGCGAACTCTCACTACGCTGCTATACCGCATCCACGTTTCGTAGCTGTATGTCGCGCACGTTGCAAGTGACGTGTCGATGTGTGCGTACTGGGCCGCTCTCGCTCTGACTCACGCGATGTCACATCACGGCCCTGATTGCTTAGACGGGGGAGCTACGTCAAAATTGGTACATCACTACTACTAACTAGTAAGGGGACTATACTTGACTTCACTAGTTGGGTTTTTTATTGGCGGACAAAACTTAACCGGCACTGATTTTAAAGGTATTCTAAAGATTAGGTAGAGTGGTGAAGTAGTGAAGAGTAGTGGAGGGAATACTTAGTAACTGGTAATAAGAAGTTTTTGTCTCTATTCTGTTTCAGTTATCGCAAGTGTAGAAAAAGCTGGTATAAAGAGAGCTGTTTTTTTAACAAATGAAGAATCCTGCCTAAGTAAATAAGTCACAAACAATTAAAAGTCATAGCTATGAAATCTAGTCTGTATTACAACTAGAAGTAATCTTTCAAAGAGGAAAAGGGGTTTCAGTTTTCTAAACTTCACTTTTCTCCAGGAAAGTAAAATATCATGAATAGTAATTAAATTTAATGAAACCTTGATTTATTTATACCTACTATTTAACATTGTAATGTCGAAGTAGAGTGTCTAATTATAATGAAGAGCATCTAATTGAGAACCACGTTGTTCTTAGATGGTGTTTAGGATTAGTATAGATGTTCAAATTACGGGCAAAAAAAGTGATTTTCCTATCAATCTTTTGTCAATACCTACATAGTAGAACTTACTGCTATAATTCCTTAAATAATTTAAACATACCCAGTTAGTATAATATAATTTTTCTGCGTATATTATTATGCCTACCATATTTGAAGACACGTGCGCTACCATGTGTTGTAGGCACGTTAATTGTTTATGTTATTCGGCTGTAACTTGCGACTTTGTTCGGTCAAAACATGTGCTGGGAATAGGTATTTGGGACTTTTGAATACATATTTACGAATGAGAATTATGTCTTTTAATTAAAAAAACCTTTGTGTCTTTTACAGACACAAGAACATGACAATATAACACAGATGTCTATAATTTAATATACACAAATGTTATGTTAACAAACTATGAGACACCATGACGAATTTTATGGAAAAGTTGTAAAGGAATGCTTGTTACATAACATTTAGAATAGTAGGTTGGACACGGTATTTATTAGACTTCAACTATTTTGTTTGTATTTATATTGGTAAAATACTGATAAAATATTCGTATTGAAAAAGATTCTGAAGTGTTTTGCTAATATTTATCAAGATTATGCATTGAAAGATACTAGGTTTCATCTCTAGAATCTAACGATTGGAAAATTGCTTTTCTTAAATAATAGACATGGTTTGTCTTTCAATCGTAACAATGAAAGTAAGTTTCACTATTCTTTATGTACCTGCAATACATATGGGTCGCCTCGTGTGTATAGAATGCTAATGGACATAGGGCATTACATAAGTGTTTATTTATAAATCAGTTAACGTTATCTATATCGCTGGTTAGTTGTAAATCCAAACAGTATATAGATAGGTATTAAGGATAAATTTTATTTTTTCAGTGGAAAGTTTATCACTGAAAGAACAAACAATTTATTGTCAATGACACAAAAATACAGGTTATGCGCCCACATTTAAAGAGGCATCCTACTATTTATTATGACATGTTGAGAAGTAAAGAGAAAAATGATAGGTAAATATCTTTAGACAGAGATAAATACCTCAACAGGTAAGCAAGCAATTACCTAACTTTCTATTTTATTTTTACCCGACTGCGCCAGAAGGAGGTCCCCGCCGCCATTAAAAACATCTTGTTTATAGTATGATTTTTGGAAGTTTTAGCTGAATGCTATGATTAAACTTTATACAAAATCCTGACTGACATAAATCGACAGCGATTTCCAATATAAAAGTAGTAAAGCAGGTATGAGCGTCCTAACAAGTGTGATATAATATTAATGTATATGTATATTGGTTCTGGAACGATCGAACTGGCTAGACGGTCAATTATCCCGGGGAGGGCTCGCCCCAACCGGGACGAGAGGGATTGTAATATTAAAAAATATTCCAATATGATTGATATATTTGAGCGTATATTGAATATGACAACTGTGAACTTTGGAGTCGAAAGAAAACCGATTGTTGGAAGGATGATTTCAAGAAGAATGTTCTTGTAACTTTTTTTAACACAGTATTTAAATAAACAATCCGAACTTGGAATGATATGTGCTAGAATATTAGTCAGCCCTTGGCCCTCAGTTTCTTTATTTGCACCCTTAAAAAATTCTTGTAGCCTACTAGTCATTTTATAACTCTTCCAACCGTGTGCCTATAATTGTTATATTAGAAATTTCAAACTTTACTACTAGTCCATTGGCAGCTTATAAAATGGTATGGTGCTACATAGGACAATCCACCGGATAACACTTATTCAGGACTTATTTGCTAATTATAGAACCACAGTGCGCTCATTTGCAACACAGCAAAACTTCATTGACGTAAATACCTATCTAAACTATGTTGCGTGTGCTGAAGTAACAATATTACAGTCGATTTCACACATGGTGTTACACGTGCCCTACCAAACATTGGCCATAATGGTAGATTTCTGTAAAAATTGGCCAACATTTGCGGCCAACACATGCGGGCGCACGCGCTTGGGGCAGGTCATAGAGCACGTTGGCCCGCACGCTGTGGCACGTTGGCGGGCATGAGGCGTGCATTCATGGAAGGGCTGAGGTAATTACATTCCTGAGTCATTAACACACTGGCCCTGATGTCTTGTACAAATTGATGATGTTAAACGATATTTGGTAGCAAAATCTCATGGAAAAAGGACCGAAATTGAAAAATTTCTGGGAAACTTATCCACATTTCCAGTTTTTGTTTCCATACATATTACCTAGATAAATCTTGTTGTCAACAAATGAATAATTCTATTGAGAAAGTCGTTTTTTTGGAACTGTGTCACACTCCTAGTAGAGGAGAGGGAACAAAATAAAGAAAAGATAGACAGTAGGCTCTTAGGTTTAATAAGTGGGTTCACAATATACGACCGAATGTATGTAACTCAGTTCCGTCACTATCACTGTCCTGCAATTCCGTCGCGTAGCTCCAGGCGTAGGTGTCTTGACGTT